CTTGATATTAATAATATGTGCTTCTCTCTTGTCTTTTTTTTTTTTTTTTGGTTTTTCTCCAGTACCGGGAACTGAACTCACGACCTTTTCTCTCTTGTCTTGATTTGGCTTGTTAGCAGTCTTATCAGTTTTTTCATTAACTTCTGTTTTCTATATTATTTCTTTTCTTTCCCATAGAGTTTAATTTGCTGTTGTTTTAATTTGAGATTAGTAATCAATGTATATATGTATATTTCCTCCTAAAATGGCTTTAGCTGTGACTTATAAGTTCTAATTCATATTTGTATTCATATTTAGTTCAAAATATTTTCTAAAAATGTATATATTTTTTCTAATTTTTGTTATGATTTTTTCTTTAGTCTATCACTTATTTGGAAATATATTGCTTAATTTAAGACTTTTAGTGCATTTTGTGTTTCTGTATCAAATCCTACACACTGGGTAATTAATAAAGAAATAAGTTTATTTAGCTCACAGTTTTGGACACTGGGAAACCCAGGATCAAGAGGACTCATGTGGTGAGAGCCTTTTTGCTGTGTCCTAAATGGCAGGAGGTGTCATCTGACAAGAGAACATGTGAGTATGTGTGCAGCAGAGGAGGGGGTGGGGTGCCCGGCTCACCCGCTGTCACCGTGAGAGCATTCGCCATGCATGAGTGCAGACCCCGACTTCCTTCCTCTTGGAGATCCCACTGCTCAGCGCCATGCGCTGGAGATTGTTCCAGCATACGGACTTTGGGAAACACGGTCAGCTCATGGCAGAAACACGTACAGATTTTCTGACTGTCCAGTGGGTATTGTGGTGTTCATTTCTGGCTTCATTCCGCTGAGTTCAGAGGATATATTGTGAATGATCACAATTCTAGTCAGTTTTAGTGAATGATCACTTAATTGTGTGTGTCATTGTTGGGAGTAGGGCTCCAAGTGTGTAAATTAGGTTAAATTTGTTTGTTGTATTGTTGAAATTTTCCCTTTTCTTAATGGTTTGATTTCTGATCATTACAACTGGCATGTGAACATCTCTCACTAATTACTGATATATATGCTTTTCCCTTTCATTCTCTAAGTTTCTGCTTTTGAAGCAAAATATATTTTGAAGTTATACTATTTTTCTGCAAATGGAGATGTGTTATATATTCTTGAAAAATTTGCCGTTTTGTCAATATGAAATATCTTAAAGTCTATTTTCTCTAATATTGTATGATTTGTCTGAGATTAGTATAGGTACACTAGCTATCTTTGCACAATTTAGCCTTTTTCATTCATTTTTTAATTTCAAAATTTTGGCCTTTATAGTTTTAGTATTTTCTCAGTAGCATTTAGTTGAATTTTATTTTTATTATTCAGTCTTATAATTTTAATTTCTTTAATATACTTTAGATCAGCTACTAATATGTATGAGATTTGGTGTCTACTCTCTTATTATTTATTTTCTCTTTTACTCACCTGTTTTAAATCCATTTTTATCTTCTCTTTTGCTTTCTTATGGATTAATTAAATATTTTACATTTTCACCCTGTTTTACCTTGTTAGTTTACCTTCTTTAGTCTTTTAGTGGTAAATTTAATATGTAAAACCAGTTTATTACCATACAAAATAACTTCTTACTTTTAATAATTTTCAGACAGTGCTTGTACTTATCATTAACAGCATTTTCTTCCTTCTATCTTTTGTGTTTTCTTATTATGTATTTTTTCTTTGTTTTAATTCTACATATATTTGCAATCACTTATACATACTTATTGTTTTATATAATCAATAATTTACCCACATATTTATTTTTCCCATTACTTATTATTCTTTCTTACATTTCCATATTTCCACATGAAACTATTTTTCTTCTGCCTGAAACTCTCATGTTATTCTTTTAATATGAGTCTGGTGGTAACAAATCTGCTTTTTATTCGTATGCAAATACCTGTTCCATATTTACTTTTTGGAGATACCTGCTCATTTCTCTTGAAATTCTGTTGCTGTCAAATTTTTATTTTTAAGCTGTCAGGTTATTCCAGCACTTTGAGTGTTATGTCTGGGTTCCATTATTTTTGCTGGAAAGACACTGTCAGGCTTTGTTTACTTCCTTATAGGTGATGTATTTTATTTTCTCAGGCAACTCTCAGGATGCTCTTTTGGTCTTCAGTAGTTTTACCATGATGCACCTCGGTGGGTTTTCTTTGCATTTATCCTGGAGTAGGAGAATCTCCATTTTCAGCCTTTCTCATTTCAAATGATGTTATGCTCTGTTCTTTTCCCTAATTCTAATCATACATGTATTCGAGTTTTTCATCATGTCATGTATGCCTCTTTTCAGTTATTTTCCTTCACCTTTACCATAGTGTCTTAGTCTGTTTTCTGTTGCAATAACTGAATACCACGAACTAGGGTAAGTGATAAGGAATAGTTACTTGGTTCACTGCTCTGGAGTCTGGAATGTCCGAGAGTGTGGCAAGGGCAGACAACATCACACGATGAAACAGAGCAAGAGAGCTGGCTGAGGTGTCTCTGCTGCTGCTTCTAAGGTGACTAACGCTGTCCCAAGCACCGCAGCATCATGACTTCATCTATCCTATCTACCTCCCAAAGCCCCTACCTGTAGATGCCATCAACATACAAATTTCGAGTTTAAATTTCTAACATGAACTGTGTGGGGGGGGCACATTAAAGCCAAAGCATGTGGATATTTTCCACTCACGTATTTTTGTAGTTCACTATTACTTTCTTCTGCAGTTTTTAAGATACTATAAAATCCAGCAATTTAGTTCATAATTTTGATTCTGTTTCTCAATTCTAAGATTTCTATTTAATTTTTTTTGTCCCAATTCTCTGTCTTAATTCTCAGTCTTCTGTTTTCTCAAGCATGTTATCAAGTTTCTTTTTTAAGTTCATGTCTCATAACTCTGGTATCTGATTTCTTCGTTTTTTTTTTTTCTATTATCTTTTTTTCTTCATTCAATTTCTTAGTATTGCTGGTATTTTTAATTAAATTCCTAACATTATATGTGAGGAAGTACAAAGACTTTGGATGTTTTACTTCCCTCCAGAGAGGTGCAAGCACACCACTCGAATCCAGCCAGAGACTGTACAAGCTGGTGGTTTTGTCCCCTCTTATTTGCCCTTACCCTTTAGAGGTTAGAACACTGCAGGGTCCCAGCTGAGAGCATCATGTGTCACTTGAGCCCTCCTTCAACAACTATAGGAAATTCTGGATCTCTGCTTAACTTTTGTCTTTTTTTCCTTCAGAAGCTTAACACATCGTCAAATTCTTTGAGGAAAAGACCACTAAGTGTTGAATCACCTCCCTCTATTTCACTTCTCTCCCAGATGTTAAATTATTAAATCTCCCTTGGACAACATGCCTTCACACAAGATTATTTTTTTCAATTCAGATTTTCTAGCTGTTTTCTGCAGAAATTTGATGTGTCACAGGTTGCTTTATATTGACCAGATGTTGGATCAGCCCCTAATATTTTGAGGTTTGGTAACGTAGTCAGCCTTCTATATTTGCAGGTTCTGCATGTGCAGATTCACCCAGCCATGAATCATGTACTGTGCAGTTAGGCCTGTAATGATGATTGATTCTTTAGTGAATACGTGTACATTTTTTCTTGCATTATTCCCTAAGCAATGTAATGTAAAAGCAGAGCACATATACATTATGTTATTATAAGTAATCTAAAGATGCTTTGAAATGCATAAAAGATTGTACAGAGGTGATAGGCCATAGCATGCCATTCTATGTAAGTGACTTGAGCATTCATGGATTTGGGTATCTGTGAGGAATTCTAGAACCAGTCATAGATCCTCAGAGACAGCCCTACTGTCATTTAACTTTAACCATTCTTTGTTTTGAGTGAGTTTATATTAGTTTGAGCTCAGGACTTTAGCCTTAAAATATACCAGTTTAACTTTCTTTTCCAAATAATTGAAGAGTTATTTAAATTGTAGTTCTTTGTAGAAGTTTTTTGGGGATCAGTGGGAAAGGAAAATGATGGAGAAAGTTTGTACTCAGTAGGATTTCCTAGGAATCTTTGCACTGTCAGGGTTGAGCATCAAGTCCTTAGCATTATGTTTCTTAGTACAAAGTCTTAAGTAGACCTAAGTTAAAGGTGGATATTCACAAATGTATGGAAAAGTAAAATGCAATCCAGAACTCTGCTTATTAATATCAAGATATCCATGAACACAAGTGTTGAATAAGTGAGGAATTTTTGTCTGGGCAGAGGAATTATTTGGCAGTAATTCATGGGCTCTAGACACTGTTCAAGTAGCAGAAGCTCATTCCTTGTGAATGCCCTGGTCCCCAGATTCACAGCCAGTCCTTAGCAGACATGCTGGATGTAGCCTGAGTGTACTACTTTCTTCCTGATCTTCTATTTTTGTACATTATTGTGGTATGCTTTTGTCATCTAGGTATCACATTTTCCCATGGGTTTAGAGACATTACTTTCTCCTGAGCATAAACATAAGTATTTCATACAGCCTATCAGCCTAGCTTTTTATTTTTCATCTGAATGCTCAAATGAATGGATAGAACATATAAATGTTAGTACTTTCCCTTGAGTTTTTTCTTTACCAAGTACTGACCTTGAGTTTTATTGATTTTGTAAGGCCACATCTGGGTTTCCTTAAAGGTCATGTCACTGGAATAGTCAAGGTACTTTTTTTTCATATCTGTTGGCATAGCATGGACTCTATTCAGTTTTTATGAGGCTTACAAATTCGGGTGACTTCTCTCGATCACAAAAGAAAGAAGCATTGCAGTCAGGAGTCCAGCCCAGGCCTAGGACCTCTGCGATGAGCTCCCAAACACTCCTCACACAGGACACTTTAGAATAACTGCACCTTAGCCCTGTGCTCGCCTCTCTTCTTTCCTTCCTTGTTATCACTTAAAAAATCTTCAAGACTGCACCTCTTTGTTAGTGTTGTTAACAGCTCGTCATCTCATGCCATTGCTCTGTCCACCAGGGTAAAACAGACATTCTTATTTTTAATGTCTTGCAGACTGGATGACTAACACTGTGAGTAAGAAATCCATTCTGCAGGCAGATATTTCTAAAGAAGAGTTTGGTCTGTGGACAGGAAAGGAAGGGCCGACCAGAGACGATCCCTGGAAGAGTGCCAATCTGTTGCAGTGGCAGTGCTGGGACGGTCAGGAGAGGAACTGGCAGCAAGCGGCCTCCACTCCTCTGGACACCTCACCAGGAGGCGGGGCACAGCAGGGCCATGAGTCTGGGAAGGGCTGCCCCGGGAGCTCCTCAGTCGTTCGGAGCCAGGGATTGCAGCCAAACAAGAAAGCCTTTGAATGTTACGAGTGCAGGAAAGTCTTCTCTAAGAGTTCCACCCTTAGCAAGCATCAGAAAACCCATACTGAAAAATTTAACAGAACTCAGAAAACGTATATGAAAGAGAAGCGGTATGAATGTCGAGAATGTGGCAAAGCCTTTCACCAGAGCACGCACCTCATCCATCACCAAAGAATCCACACAGGGGAGAAACCGTATGAATGTAAGGAATGTGGCAAGGCCTTCTCAGTGAGCTCCTCACTGACTTACCATCGGAAAATCCATACTGGAGAGAAGCCTTTTGAGTGCAACTTGTGTGGGAAAGCCTTCATCCGGAACATACATCTTTCCCACCACCACAGAATACATACTGGAGAGAAACCGTTTAAATGCAACATTTGTGAAAAAGCCTTTGTATGCAGGGCACATCTTACCAAACACCAGAATATTCATAGTGGCGAGAAACCCTATAAATGTAATGAATGTGGGAAAGCTTTCAACCAGAGTACAAGTTTTCTTCAGCATCAGAGAATCCACACTGGAGAGAAACCCTTTGAATGCAATGAATGTGGAAAGGCCTTCAGGGTAAACTCTTCCCTTACCGAACATCAAAGAATTCACACTGGAGAGAAACCTTATAAATGTAGCGAATGTGGAAAAGCTTTCAGGGATAATTCATCTTTTGCGCGCCATCGGAAAATTCACACTGGAGAGAAACCCTACAGATGTGGCTTGTGTGAGAAAGCCTTCAGGGACCAATCAGCCCTGGCCCAACACCAGAGAATTCACACTGGGGAAAAACCTTACATGTGTAACATATGTGAGAAGTCGTTCAGTGACCACTCTGCCCTCACCCAACATAAGAGAATCCACACGAGAGAAAAGCCTTACAAGTGTAAAATCTGTGGGAAAGCCTTTATCCGAAGCACACATCTTACCCAACACCAGAGGATTCACACGGGAGAGAAACCCTATAAATGTAATAAATGTGGGAAAGCTTTCAATCAGACAGCAAACCTCATTCAACATCAGAGACATCATATTGGGGAAAAGTGATATGTGACTGCAGCTTATATGGAAGAGCCTTGATTGAGCAAATTAATTATGACAGAACCCATTCTAAAGAATACCTATGATACTCATCCTATTTTCTGAGAGACAAGATTCACAGCATTGTAGTGTTTTTGTTTTTGTTTTTGTTTTTGTTTTTTGTACCAGCAATCACTCATGACCTCATGCTTGCCAGGCAGGCACTGTGCTGCTGAGCTATATCCCCAGCCCAGCAACATCGCAGTTTTTGATAGCATAAGAATGGCCAGCACCTTATTGTTTAGTTCTGCCTGCTTGAATAGCAGTACTTTTCTTTACTAGTCTGAATTACAAAGTAGCAGAACCAAAATGGAGCTTCATTAATAATATAAAAATTGATTTATAGAATCTATAATTTAAGAGAATTATAAATTGGTGAACATTAAGGTTGAGAAGCCAAGGAAGAAAGGAGTAAGAACGTGGTCTGTAAGCGTTCCATTCCTGTAGATTCTCTCCCGTAGGAGCTGCCACGGTAATATCACCTCTGTTCTCTCCTCACCCACGCTCCTGACACCCAGGGTAAGGGGCAAACGGTCACCCATGAGGCCTAGGGATAAACTTACATCGTGCTCCCCACTTCTACTTCAAACTTTGGTGAGACATACCCTGTGTGTCCCCTGGCTTCTTACTCTGTCCCTCTGCTGGAAACATGATCCTCTTGCTGACTTGGCCACTCCTAACTCAACGCTGTGTCACTTGCCACCCCCACGCTTGGGAGTGTGATCTGACCTCACACAGTGAGAATCTGCTGATCAGAATCAGAATTAATTTCCAGCTTTTACAGTTTGGATTCTCTACCTGGGGGGCAGTTTGATCAACCTTCTTGAGTTACCATTTCCTTTGGTCCTCAGCTCAAGTCTGGCCTTGGGATGATACCTGTGCAGGGCTTTCCTCCCCAGCTATTCCTCTCCAGCTGTTTGCACTGTAGTTGTCCGCTCTGCACACCGCAGCTAGGCTTACACGGTGTGATGTGTGTGTGTGAGATGACACAAGCCTCCCAGATGCAGTTGATGTTCCCAGCCGCCTTGACTTCTGTGACACATTTCCTGGTGTGCAATCAACGTAAGAGATGAGAGCCTGAGGCCACGTCTCAGAGCGCTGTGGCCCATGTTGCCTTGGTTGGAGGATCCCCGTGTCGACACATTAGTGTGTCTGCTGCTCTGGAATGGTCGGCTGCAGCTTCCTGTCCCTGCCCAGCTTCTGTCTAGGCTTCTAAAGGTCTTAATGTTCACAGGAAACCAGGAAGGTTTGAATTTCTTCTTTTCATTTGAAAGTGGTCGCTTCCTGTCTTTTTGCTTGGTCATTCTGACTGTGGTGAGAAACACACTGAGTCGTCCATCGCACCATCAACTTCTCTGGCAGGGGCAGTGTCCAAATCCAAAAGTGGAGTGACATACTAGTCCTACAAGTACAGTTCTCACCATCGTAATTCCCCAGTGTTTCTCGAGGAAAGCAGAGAACAGTAATGCCTATGCACCTCCACGCATCGCATCTGGCCACGCCTCCTTCACCCCTCAAGCTGGGAAGGAGCCGCTATGCCGAGCACACAGTGAAGGAGGGGAGCAAGTTGCGCTATGGGAAGCCACGCGGCAGCTTCCTGCTCTGCGGAAGAGCTATCTGTCAAGCTGTGCGGTCTTCTGATCCCTGTGAAAGGTGCCTCAGCTCCAAGTGAAGGAAGGGGCCACCGTGTGTCCTGTGGGACCCTAGCTTGCTCCAGAGACTCCAGCTTCCAGCCACTTCCAAGCCTGAGTTCTTGAGGTTCAGCTTCACTGACAAAGGCCAGCATTGCGGGCAGCCCTTGCTGTCGGGCGTCCAGCACCAACCCCTCCTCTCTCCGCTGTGCATCCCAACAGGGTGCTTGGTGCTGCCCTGCTGTGCGCCCTGCAGACTGCACAGGAACCTGGGAAGGCGCACTCCCCGCTGCTGTGGCACCATCCCTGCGGTCCGCCGGGCCCTCGCCACCACGGCTTCCCTCGCCTTTACTCTGCATGCCTGAGAATCCCTGAGAAGTTCCTTTCTAGGCTGCGTTTGCTGCTCACTGTGTCTGCCAACAGCAGGAGAACCCCTGCCACTTGTCGTTTGCCTTCAGGTGGCTGAGGCCCGGTGCCGGCATAGGAGCCTCCTTCCTGTCAGGGACAGCGCCAGGACCTGTCCCCCAGCGGTGGCCACGGTCTGAAGGCTTCCATGGAGAACAAGGCTGCTCTCCAGAGCGCCTCCCTCAGACATGGGTCTTCACGAAATTAGACCTGTGGAGTCCTTGTTTGTGCGTCCTTGGTGGAGAGGCAAAAATTTGCATTTTGAGAACCCTGAGGCAAGAAGTTCTCAGCCTGGATCTGTCTGCCAGCTGACCTGCTGGTATTAGGTGAGATTTTGGTGGCCCCCAAGAAGGCTTCTTCCTCCCCTGCCCACAGCCTGGGTAATCCCAAGACGTGCAGAGAGTGCTGGGAAGAGCAGTTCATTCCACACTTTGCTCGCCTGGTCTTACTGATGAGCCACACGGATTCCCTGAGCGTGGCCGGCACCACTTGGGCCCCTTCCTGGTTGCAGAGTTAGGAAGCTGGAAATGTGCCGCCCTCCACGGCCTGCTGCCCACGGTGCACAGGAAGTCCTGGCACGACCAGGACCACCGCCGGCTCTGCTTGTGGCAGAGGGGTGCTGTGCCCACTGTGGCACCTGGCCCTGCCCTGCCTTTCCTAGCAGAGCTTTCCTTGCATCCTGCAGGGCTGCCCACTAGTGCAGTTCCACCCTGTTAGGGGGGCCGAGACAGGACTCATATCTAGACGTTGGTACATTCTTCATGTGTGTAGACTCTCAACAGCCCCTGGAACTGCCTGGCGTGGGGCAGAATAACATGCTCCATTTCCCCTTTAAGTTCCTCTGACCCTGTGTCTTGTCAGGGCTTGCTCAACTCCTGACCCATCTTACATCCGGGTTCTTTGTCTCTGCCTACCTTTGGCAGCAGCAGTGCCTAAGATCTCCTCCACATGCAGGGACTGCTCTTAAAATAGCAGTTAAGCCCCGCAGCAGACTCAGGCGTCCAGGTGGTTGTGTCCTGCTGGGAATGCCGTATCCCTCCACTGAATGAATGCCTTTGGTAGGGGAACAGTCTAACACACCCAAACACTGACAATATCTGAGCCTCCATGTCTGAGCCTCTCCCTGCTTCCTAGGCCCTTTGCACTTTGCCCTCCATCCCATCACCACCGAGCACTCAACTGGGTGCCTTGGAGACAGAGCTCTCCCGTGCGGGGGCAGGGTGCTCCACACCGTGGGCCACCTCAACGCCACGAAATATATTTTGGTAATATTTTTACTTCTAATATTTTTATACAAGTTTCTGAAGGAACATTTGTGGCTTGGTTGTTTCTCGTCACTCCCGGAGCCCTCAGTCACGCTGATGGTCCTTCTCAGCAGTCTGGTAGTACCGACGTATTCCAAGCTCTGAGTCACCCTGTACGCCACATGCCACTGTACTTTTTAAAGGGTTGCTGATGCGTTATTCATTGGTGTGTTGAGGAAAATAAAATGAGAAAAGCACCCCGTGTTCTGAGACGTGCACATTGCAGGAATAGGGGGGTGAAGGGGGTCACTAAGACCCGACCAGAAGCTGCTCTGGTGAGTACTTTTCTCTCTTGATGATCAGTCTGGTCATGTGGCTCCCAGCAGTATCTACCAAGCCTACCTGGTCCCACAAACGGTCATGTTCAGGCTGTGTAACAGGAAAAGCTGTATCCCCCATTGTTGGGAATGACAGCTAGTGTCTAAGGGCACAGCTTGTGGCCCAGACTGTCGAAGGGCTTTGCACTTACTAATGCCCTCACCCTGCTGTGGTGAGTCTGATGCAACCGTGGGAGGAGACAAAAGCACGGGGAAGCAGAGTACTGTACTCACAGGTCCCAGGGCAGAGGGGCCTGACGCCCGGGCAGTGGAGGGCACACACGGGAGGGAGGGGAGCTTTATGCCACAGCCTGTGTGGGCTTTTGAGGGAAAAGCAAGGCAGGCAGGGAAAAAGGCTGGGGACAGCCCAGCTTGAATCACAATGGCCTCTAAACTGACCAGGACTGCTTCCTCCTTGCCTGGGGCCTGGCCCTTGGCTCATTAGGGCAGAGAGAGACACTACCTTCTGGGCGCCTGGGCCCGGCAGTGGAGGTGTGGTCCCCGTGGCTATCTGCACAGATATATGCCCGGCCCAGCCTGTTGCTCTCTCTTAGGAATTGACTAGAGCCAAAGGGCAGTCTCTCCCCAGCTGGGAAGTTTCTCTCCGATGTCAAAGCATACTGTGTACATCAGAAGGCTGAAATCAGGTGAGAGTCACCCTGTTGGTGAATGATGAAACAAAGACCACTCCAGGTGACATGGCCCAGGGTACACGTGTTCACCCACCACACTTGGTCCCCTGTTTATGGTGCATGCAAGCCACGTGGCTCAAGGTGTTGGGGTGGAGCAGATGTGCGTGTGAGGCGGGCCACAAGTGCCCACTTACAACCACATGTGCAAGCATGCCTTTCTGCGCCGTGTTCTTCTTCCACTGGACGGCCTTCTCCAGAGCGGCTTGGCGGAATGGCAGGAGCACAGTGTCCTTCCGGCTAGAGAGTCCAGGACCCTGGGTCCACAGATGGATGTCAGAGCCTGACGGCATGGTCCTGCAAGGTCTCGTACACACAGCCTGGGACCCGGGCCAAAGGAGAGGGCTGCTGCCAGCGCTGCCTGTTTTGGAGGTGTTCCACAAGGGAGAGGGGAGACTCGGACTAGAGAGATAGGAGGAAACAGCCGTTTGTTTAATAAATAATGTCTGCCAAGCAACAGTTGTTCTACACTCACGTAGTCACTACCTTCATGGACCTTAAACAGGAAACACAGGAAACAAATAATCAGCAAATAACTAATATGTGGACAGAGAAAACAGAATAGGATACTTGCAAAGCAAGTTCACCGTGTGCTAGTTACCTGCCTGTGTCTGTCAGGCAGAATGCACACAAGTCACACCCTGCAGGTTCCTCTCCTGCAGGGAGCCAACAGGGAGAACAAAGGCTCCTGTCCTCCAAGGCACAGGAAAACTTGCCAGGGAGCTGAGTCTCATCGGCCGTGCTGATCACAGGGGGCAAAGCCCTCGCTCACCCCTCCTTGTCCTTTCCCCAGGTATCAGCCACGTCAGAAGATGCTCGTGAGGGTGCTGGTGTGTGCTCACTCCCTAGGGCAGTGCAGCTCAGGGGACGTCTGTGTTCCCTAAACCATCTGCATGTAAACCACTGTTTAAAGGCACACATAGAAATGTTCCTAAGAATGTAACTTGCACGTGTGATTGAGCATAGTGTTGTTTCAGGGACTGCATGTGGCCTCTACACTATTCTGCATGCAATATGCTCAGAAAAAGCACTATGTTAACACAATTTTAAAGATATTCCCAATACAGTAACCGGAGTGGCCTTGGGAGCTTGTCAGGCCGCCTCAAAACGCTGCGGTGTAACTTGCAGTCCCTGCATCTCATTTGCAGTGAAAGAAAGTCCATAATTACAACAGCCTGCAGGGCTCCTTGTAACACATTTGCGTGGCCTCAAGAGAGGGTTAGTTTTAGGTGTCATTTCTCTCGGATGTTGTAGTACCCAGTTAGTTAATCAGACACTAGTGCTGCTGTGAAGGTATTTTGTGGATGTGGTTATTATGTGAAACTAGTTGACTTTACGCAAAGAAGATTATGCCCAGTGATACAGTGGGCCTTGTTCAATCAGCTGAAGGCTTTGAAGGTCCTAGAAAGGCCTTCCTTCCCAGAGCAGAAGAAAGTCTGCCCCGAGACAATAGCCCCCTTTCCCGCCTGAGCATCCAGCCTGTGCCTGCTCCCCAGATTTTAGACTTGCCTACCCCTGCAGTGACACGAGCCAATCCCTTAGAGCAGAGGTGGCGAACCTATGACAACATGTTGTTTTTCTCTTAAGGCAAAAGATGTTACTGTAGAGTTCTAAACTAAAGCCTCAGGATTTGGGTTTAATTGCAGTGCTGGCACTTTTCAATGCATCAGTGGGTTTGGGGTTGCAGTTTGGGCACCCATCTCTGAAAGGTTTGCCATCACTGCCCTAGAATACCCCCTCACCGTTATGTGTGTGTACTGCTGAGGTTTGAATTTACTCCCCAAAGTCCTGTGTTGGGAACTGGAGCCCCTACGCAGCAGTGCTGAGAGTGAGACCTTCAAGGAGAGATTGGGTTAGAAGCACTTTTTCCTCATGATAGGTTAATGCCAGTACCACGGGGGCAGGTCAGGCACACAGCAGAGGTCCTCAGGAAGGACGAGTCCAGCCCACTTGGTCCCGCCTTCTGTGTGCGAAGATGCAGCAGTAACACCCTTGCCACATGCAGGCCCTTCGGCCATGGACTCCCAGCCTGTACCACTGGGAGAAGGAGTCTGCTCTTCGTACGCTGTCCAGCCTGTGGTGCTCATTTACAGTGGCACAGCATGGCTAAGACAGACGGGGAGAGGGAGAGCAGAGGTGTGCAGACCCCCTCTGCTTTGCGTCTCAGGAGTCAAGCCGGTGAAGCTCACCAGCTTTCTTATGTGGTTTTCTTTCCACCGTGCTCCAACTGCCTCTGCTGCATCCTCAGCCACACCAGGTGTGCCCTGCCTGGGCCTCTGCCTTCTGAGCTCCATCTGCGGGGCCTCTTTCCCCCCCACACACACACAGATACTCCAGGGGTCGCTGCCGCCTGCTCTGGACCACTCCATGCAGCCCATCCTCCCAGGGTCCCTGTTCTGCTGAGCCCCCTCTGTGCTCCTTTCCACGGCACATGTTACCTAGCCTGCTCCCTACTGAGTTGTCTCCTGTTGCCACGGCTCAGATGTAAGACCAGGAAGGAAATGGTCCTTGGCCATTTTGTCCGTGGTTGCATCCCAGGACTTAGCCCAGAGTAAGCACCCAAAGGCGCTTGGAGTGATGAGGAGCAGCCTGCTGGGTCAGGGAGGGGGCCTCAGGTGTGAGCTCTGCAGTGTGGTTAGAGAGCGGGTCTCAGTGGGCAGCGCATGGCAGGGCCTGGAGGGTCAGGGCAGTACATGGGCTCGGTGGCCTGGGCATCTCTGAAGGGCCCTCAAGGACACTGGCTGGCTGTGATTTCCAGAGACATGGACCATCCAGCCCAAGGGCACCTGTCCAGTGAGCATCGGAGCTGCAGCAGATCTCAGGGGGTCTTAGCCACCACACAATGCAACTTCAAGACGTAAAAGCTGACATTAGCAAGTGCAAATGGCTGGAGCAAGACAAGGTCTGCAGGTCCCAGAGATTTCCCCAGTTGGAAATTCAAAATGAAAAATACCTGGGCTGTCGACACTACAGGCACATTCAATACCCAGGCTCTGGTGGAACACCTGATCGCATCTACCCCAGGAGGTCCTGTGAGTGAACAGACCCAGGGCCACGACCCTGTGGACTAATGTGTCCTTCCTGCTCCTGCTGTGCAACTGCGGGGAAGTACTAGGATGCGCACGGCCAGATGGAGGCACTGAGGAGGGCTGGGGCATGGCACCAGCTCACAGCAGCTTAGTGCTGAGGAATGATTTCTGCGAAGGGTGGACACAGGGGAAGGACACTGGGAGCAGGCAGCCTACCTAGAACCCTCCCATAGCAATTGCTACAGACTGGATGATTGTGTCCTCCCTGTGCCGGTGCTGAAATCCTAACCTGCAGTGCAAGGGGATTTTGAAGTAGGTGTTATTGTTGATGCATTGTGTCAACTTGAAGAGTCTAGAGGCTGGGCTAAGAGACTCAGCAGTTCTACATTCTGAGCCTGTGCAAGAAGAGACTGGCTTCCCCTGCCCCTTGTGCTCTTGCTGCTTTTATTATTTTCCGCTACCACAAACTGTTGCCCCTCTGCCATGTGCCACCCTGCCTTGGAGCCAGCTGATTATGGACTGAAATTTCCACAAACTGTGAGCTAAATAAACCTTTCTTTCCTTAATTCCGGGTGTCAGGTATTTTGTCTCAGCAATGAGAGAAAATAACTGAGACAGAATTTGGTACCAGCGGAGTGGAGTTGTTACTGTGACTGTACCTGACCATGTGGTTCAAGAGCCTTTGGAAATGGCTTGTGGGAAGAGCTTGGAAAGGTTCGGAGATGTCACCTGAAGAGTAGAGCTGTAACGCCTTCGACTGTTCTGTATGGGAGATTCTGGTCAGAGCTGGGAAGACCAGAAGGCTGATAGAAATCCTGCTGGTAAAGACCAGGTTCTGGAGGTTTCTGCTGGGAAGAAGAATTGTGCTGGGTGCTGGACTCCAGATGATGTGTGTTATGGCTTGGCAGAAAGTTTGTCTGCATTTTGCTCATGTCCAGAGACTTTACCTGAGACTAAGATTAAGGGTAATGGACTGATTAATCTGGCAAAAGAAATTTCCAGGCAGTCAAATGTTGAGGCTGTGGCATGGCTGTTGCTGGGGGCTTTTAGTCAGATTTATGTTGAGAATCCAGAGCAAAGAGCCCAGCAGGATGATTTAAAACATTGTGAGTTTGGCCAGGAAAAAAGCTCCAGTAAAGCTGTGCACTGCAAAGCTAGAGTGGAGGAGATCTCGATTGCTGAGAAGGAACAGCATATAAAAGAAGACCTGAGGGCATCACAAGAAGCAGCAAGTCTCCACCCTTTGCAGCCTCAAACTTGCAAAAATGAAAGACTTTGTTTTGAAGAGAAAGCTGCAGAGTGCCATGTTCCAGAATAGTGGTGGCTGCACCAGGTTCCAGAATGGCAGTGGCATAGAAAATTTATTCCTCAGAATTGGATTCTGAGTATCCAGGCACTCGACCCCTATGGCCAAGAGAAAGGAAGGCCTGCCTACTGCTCCAGCTGGCAGCAGACGTTGGAATCATCCACATAGTGCTGGTTTTAGGCACATGCAGAATGCAAGAGTTCTGAGGTTAAAGAGGCTTCCACCTAGATTTCAGAAGGCCTGGGAGGCCAGGCAGTGTGCCCCTGAGAGGGCAGTGGGTAAAGCAGTGAGTGTGATGTGAAAGGTGCAGTGGAGAACCCAGAAGTTTGGAAAAGCCAGGAATGTGGATTGTCTGAGGAAAGCTGCAAGGAGGGAGCAAAGTGGGCCCAAGATAGAAGCCATGGGTGCTATAATCACCAGAAGTGCCATAGGGTGGAGTTATGCAAGCCCTTTGGAGCTCACAGTGTGCCATAAGTTGCTTCAGATGCTGGATATGGACCTACAGGATGTAATGTTAGCCCTGCTGGATTTTGAACTTGCCTTGGTCCCATTCTTTTGTATTCCCTGTTTGTAACTTTTGGAATAAAATGCTTATTTTGTGCCATTGAATGTTGGAAATGTTTAACTTTTCATTTGTACACGGGCTTGCAATGAAGAATTTGCCTTAGATCTCAGGGGAGACTTGGTACTTGGACTTTTCAGCAATGCTGAAACTGTGAGGCCTTTGGCAACTCTTGCAGATGGACTAAATTCCTTTCGCATAAAGGAATGTGCATGAGTCTTTGGGGGGTAAAATGTTATGGTTCTAATGTAATATAATGTTGATAGACTTAATATGGTGCTTAAGGATTGTTAAACCTGTTCTATAGTGTTCAAGTTCTGAAATGATGACAATAATGTCTTTGTATCTGGAAGCTGGTTTAAAGAAAAGTGTCTGGTTGCCAAGTGGACAAAGGGTAGATTGTTATGGCTGATACACTGTGTCAACTTGAGGAGTCTAGAGGCTGGGTGAGTGACTCAGCAGTTCTACATCCTGAGCCTGTGCAAGAAGAGGCTTGCCCCCGCTCCTCGTGCTCTTGCTGCTTTTGCTGTTTCTGCCGCCGTGAACTGTTGCCCTCTGCCATGTGCCTCCCTGCCTTAAGCCAACTGATTATGGACTGAAACCTCCACAAACTGAGATAAATAAACCTTCCCTTCCTTAATTTAGGGTGCCAGGTATTTTTTCTCAGCAACGAGAGAAAAGTAGCTACGACAGTGGACTGTTGGGAGTTGACATGGTCAGGAAAGTGGATGCCGCAGGAGATTAGTGCCCTTATTAAGGGGACCTCAGAAAGCTCCCTGGGCTTTTCTGCCTTGTGAGGACACAGTGAGAGGATGTCACCTGTGAACAGGAAGAGGGCCCTCCACAGAGCACTGACTCTGCTGATGCCCTGAACGTGGACTTCCAGCTCCACAACTGAGGAAGAAATGTCCTTTCTAAGCCACCACATCGATGATACTGTGCTACAGCAGCATGAAGATGAAGCGGAAACCCATGACGAAGTGATGAGCCGTAATGATCCCAAGTCCGGGCTGGTGCAGCTCACAGTGGAGCCCGTGCTTAGCACCACAAGCCCAGTCCTTTCACTGACATGCCGCCGCATCTATGTCTCCCCCTTCCATCCAGCGCTCCTTCTCGTGCCTGCCCTGCACAGCCTGACTCTTCTTGGTTCCTGCCCTTTGCATTTCTTTAGCCTTTCCCCCAAAGTCATCTTGAAAGATGAAGATGAAAAGTCATCTCTGAAACTCCCAGAGCTGCCCGTAACTGTCAGTATTCTGCTTCTTTCTGCCCACACTGGAGCAGTTTTTCCTTCACAGATTCCAACAGATGAAAACTATTCACACTTTGGAATTTTTCACATTAAAACAAAGGTGTCTCTATAAATAACTTTTGTGTTGTTTTGTTTTATTTTGTTTTTCAAGCCAGGGTCTCACTGTGTACTTTAGGCTGACCTTGAACTCACAGTGATTCTCTTGCTTCAGCCTCCTGAGGGCTGGGGTTACAGGTACTGTCATGCCCGGCAAGGTAGCCATGGAATAATGAGTATTTATAAAGCTGTTTCATTCAATAAAATGATGGTGGATATTCTTGGAATGGTGAGTTCTATTCCATTTTAGAAATCTGAAAATGATAAATATAAAAAGAAGTAACAGAAAACCACAAAGCTCTGGGTAAAAGTTATATTTATTTAATAAGAATTCACTGAATAAAAGAAGAGGCAATGTGTGAAATGGAGTAGGGGGAATTTTCCAAAGGGCAAACGTGTAAGAGATGTGACAGTGCGGTAATTAGTGCGTCAAAAGAATTCACACTGGTGACAACGCATAAGAATATAGCAGGAAAAAGCCCTCTCATGCAAAAGTCCCAGCACACGTGAAAATAGAGCGGAGAGGTGAGGTGGTACAAAGCCTCTATCAAGACGTGATCCCGCGCTGCTGTGGAGAACTCACACCAGAGAGAAAAACTATCACTGTAATGCACGCTGACCGAGCCCCGGCTCCAGAGCTCCACTTCTGCTGGGACATGTAGTTTTCACCAGACAGAAATAGATCAAGATGGTGACTATGAGAAAGCCTCAGGTGGGGCCCAGCTCTTATCCAACAGGAGAGATCCCACCCTAGCAGAATGCCTTCCAAATCCCACAGATTTCAAAAACCACAAGCCTTCCTTCAGGACTTCACTCAGGCTGATCAGACATCAGGGAATTAAGACGGTGCAGCCAGAACATAGGACAGCCTTGGGGAGCTCTCAGCCCTTCCTTACACACCAAAAAATGATCAAAGAGAGAGATTTCGTGTATACCTGGAATACAGGAAAGCTCTCAGAGAAACCATGCATCAGGGGACTTGTATACATCAGGGGACTCAGGGAGAGCGCCTGTTGGGGGGAGCCCCCTCCCCGCCCCCCCGTACGGGAAAGCACAGAGGAGGAAGACAGCGCTCTGCACTCGGACGAATTCCCTCCAGGGCCTGGGATGGAGCTCAATGGGACAGGGCTTGCCTAGCACGTGTGAGTCTCTGGGTTTGATCCCCAGCAGTAGAAAGAAAAAGAATGCTCATCAGAGAGAGGGGGAGCGATGTGTGTGGGGAGTGTGTGGAAGTCTCTGCCCGAAGCCAGGACTCGAAGTCAGAATCTTCACACCAGGGAGGAAGCCCTTACGTGCAGTCAGCGTGGGAACCCTTGCACTGAGAAATCATTGGAAGTCGTGGAGTTTGGAGTGGGGTAAACCTCAGCAATATGGTTTTTTAAAGTGGAAAAGTTTTCAACTAGAAATGCACATCAAATATTTCATACTTGGAAATACACTAAGAAAACAGTAAACTGAAAAAAAAAATTCATTCGGAGAGCTGAGCTTGCGGACTCTCAGGGTCCATTTAGGAGCAAAACCCTACAAAAGCACTATGGTAGAAAGAAACACATGTCAGAGGACCCACACAGGAGAAGCCCAACAAAATAATGGATTTTGAAAAGCATTCAATAATAAATGAAACCATAGTTCACACTGGGCAGCCCCCAGGAACACACCAGCGAGGGGGCGAATCTGCACTCTGGCAATGTTATTCTCGAGAAAAGCACTGTTAATTTTCAAAGCACAGAAAAACAGGCCCAAAGTCAAAGCTTAGTGGACATCAGAGAATCTTTAGGTCGTATGCAGTGTGATTCTCCTTCGCACTTCGTTGCAGATATTAGGTACTAGAGATTTCTGAATCATAAAACAGCCAACTCAATACATTAAAATTTATCTAACCCCAGGAAAACAAAATTCCGAAACTAAAATCTACATTTTTTTAGAAAGATGACTGAAAAATGAACATTTAAGCATCTACACTCCAAGCATTTTCCATTGTTCAAGAAAATGTCCGGAAAGTTTTTACGTCCATCCTAAATTATGCACTTGGGATTAATCTTCACCGTGGATGTAAAAAGCTGTCATTGGTCCCAACCTAGACCTCCGAAACACAACCACATGCAGGCATCGCAGAGCAGTGGGTGCCTCCTGCTGCTTCACTCTCACAAGTGCATCTGAGGTCTGCAGGCTGGGAGAGGTTAAGGGAGAACACCCCAGGAGGAGCTGCGCTGCTCGGAAGTGGTAGCCGATGCCTGGATGTGGTGACACCGTGGAGGAGCGCCCTGCTTCCTCTGCTCACGGGGCTCTCACCAAGGGCTGCCCCTGTGACCCGCAGCAGGGTCACTGAGCCAACTGAGCTCCTCAGCAGGGTGCAGCCCTCCCCTATGGAGACCTCCCTGCCACCAGCCCAGAGGCTCACCCGGCCACAGCTCTTCCATCCGCCGATCCGAGTGTGCAGAAGCAGGCGGCAGGCTCTCAAAGGGCAGAGCCTTGCCCTTGGGCCTTCTCTAGAGCAGCCTCTGGCCAGGGCCACTTCCCCCCAGCAGGATGTGTGGTCCTTGGAGCACAGTGTGGAGCTGACCAACCCCAGAGGTCCAGAGGGGGTGAAGCGAGGCCGTGCGTCCCAGCGTGGCCTGTGCAGACCCTGCTCCTCCTTTTTGCTGTCGCCGGACTCCTCCGCGACCAGAGGGGCAGGAAGGGGGGGGGGAGCAGCCTGTCCTGGCCACTCCCGCCTCCTACTTTGGGTCCTCTTTGTCCTCACCCTTGGGGGGCGCTGCCACCGTGGAGGTGGCCTTGAGGCTCCGCTTGCGCTTCTGCACATTCTGCTCTGGGTGGAACAGGATGACGTAGGTTTTGGGCACGTAGAGCATGCCGAGGGACACGGAGGCGCTCAGGCTCAGAGACACCGTCAGCGTGGTGGTCTGGATGTAGATCTGCGGCAGCAGGAGGAGGAGGGGAGGAGCGGGCTCAGCCTGCTCTCCCGCTTTGCTGGCAGGGGAGTGCTCAGCCCCAGAGCGGGAACGGCAGGAAGGAGAGGAAGGCGGCAAAGGCCAAGGCGGGCACGAAGGAGGCGGCAGTCAGCTGTGACCCTGACCAGGCAGCAAGGGGGTGAGCAGCAGCAGGGACCTGGCTGCTAAGAAGGAAAGCGGCCCCTTGTGCCTGCATGGGCTGGAGCGTGCCATGAAAGAAGGAGTGTTTTCAGATGTAGGAAGGAAGGGTGGAGGCATTCGTGGAAGAGCACACGGGCGAGCACACGGGCCCCGAGGAGGGCGCGCACGTGTCCTGCTGTGCTCCGTGGAGATGACTGTGGGGATGGTCGTGCAAGTGGGCCTGCAGAGTAACAAGGTAACTGACATAAAGCGTGGGAAAAATGGAATCAAAGCAAAGTAGGAACTGAGTGTGGTGGTGCTTGTCTGTCATCCCAGCAGCCTGGGAAATTGAGGCAGGAGGATCGCAAGTTTGAGCCCAGCCTGGGCAATTTAGTGACTTAGCCAGACCCTGTCTCAAAATAAAAAAGGGCTGGGGCCGTAGCTCAGTGTGAAGGCCTTGGGTTCCCTCACCAGTACTGCCCCAAAATAAGAACGAACAATAAAACAGAAGAAAGTTAGGAAGAACAGAAATGAAAAAGAGGGCTAGGGTGACCCATTCGGGACCCCTCCTATCTCTCAGGAGCTACTCCTATTCCCCAATCTTATTCCCATTTCCTTTTCTCCAATACATTTTCGAACTCTTTCTTTAAATAGAGGAGGATTAGAAGAGCAGGTAAATGAGTGAATGAACAAGGGAAGAGAAAAATGGCGGAGTGACAGACACAGAGATCCCGGGAGAACGTGAGCGCACAGCATCTCATGACACGCACAGCAGCTAGCCCGCCCTGTAGTCATTCCCGTAAGGCAGCCTCCAGACGGCTCAGCTCTCGGTGACAGGAAGGAAACATGGGACAGGGCCAGGGGGACCCCGGGTACCTTTTCGGCAGACTGGGCCGTGCCAAAGAAGATGGGCACAAAGGCCAGCCAGATGATGCAGGTGGTGTACATGGTGAAGCCGATGGGCTTGGCCTCGTTGAAGGTCTCGGGGACACCTCGGGCCTTGATGGCGTACACAGTGCATGTGACCATGAGCAGGAGGCTGTAGCCCAGGCAGCCGATGAGGGACAGATCCGACATGTCACACTTGAGTACGCCCCTGGCCTGCTCGGGGTCCACCGTGCGCTGCTCCTCGTAGTCAATCACGCTGTGGGGAGGCTGGGCCGCCAGCCACGCTATCACGCCCACCACCTGCAGGAGCCACGCTGAGTCAGGGCGCACCCCTGCCGGCGACTAGTCTGTCCCAGCCCGCTTCCCGGGGCCTGGAGGTCAGGATGCCTGGAGGCCCCCAGCCTGCCGAGTCGGGGAGCAGCCATGGGGGACCCACCACGGGACCAGTGCACCTGGGGCACGGCGAGTGGTGGAAGGGCCACAGTGGGTGACGCCGGGCTGGGCCCTTGTTATCGACTCTAACCAGTACCAGTGCTGGGCACTGAGCACTTCTTTCTTTGCCTCAGTTTCTCTACTCACAGAACGGACAGAGTTTTAAGGACACAGTGCTGTCCTGGGGGAGCAGCTGGTCCACCGATTAGGGCCAGGCCTGGAGGGAACATTCAGGCCTCACAGCGCCCAGGCAGGCAGCACTACTCCACTCCGGGTGTGAGGACACCAGGTTGGCCATGTCCAGCAACAGGAGAAACCTAGCTCCCGAGGCCCTCTCAGTCTCCAGAGAACCACTGAAAAGGCGAGATTACGTACGAAGCTCAAAATGCAGGCACATCACAGGCAAGAGGAGCAGCAGCCTGGTGTGGCCCAGTGTGGCTCAGAGTCAGAACAAGCCCCACCGGAGAGGGGGAGCTTCATTTCCTGCATGGTGACATCGGGCCTGGAGCCAAGGACACTGAGGAGCGGGGACTAAGACGCTGCATGAAGGGAGACTCGGGAAGGGCTGCCCCGTATATTCGTGCAGGTTGTTCACTGCACAAGAGCACTGAGCAGAGGGGTGGGTGGGGGTAGAATCTAGCTAGCACACCAGTGCTGTGCCAGGCGTCCTGAGGGGAGGGGTGCTTCTAACAATCTGTCCACCCACAAGAAACACCTTTCTGTGCTTCTCCTAACTGCGACACAACCCACAGACAAGGGGCCAGCGAAATTAAACTCAGGAGGCAACATAGGAGCCGCCTTTAGAACCAGGCTCTTCAGGGGGAAAAGTCACTCATAGAAGATAAAACCCAGGGCTGGCGACGCACGGAACCAGCGGCTCAAACGCCCCTCACTGATCTCCACCCTGCACTTGCTGCGAAGTCAAAGGATGGGAACAGCCACGTCGCAGAACGCAAGGCTCCTGAGGCCACTGGTAAGAACGCGTAGGCAAAGGAACAGTAAGGTACCGGGCGCACACAGCCCTGGCTGAAAGCCCCAGAAAGCCGGAGGCGCGGCTCTTTAGAAGTGTTCATGGAGAAGGAGAGGGGGAGGGGCGTGAACCGCGCTGGGCGGCCACCGCGGAATGCCGCGCGAGCGGCTCCGTCGCGCGTGCGTGCGTGCGAGGCAGCATGGAGTGTCTGCGGCAGGGAAGTTGTGCAGCACGTCTCAGGATGGGGCTGAGGGCACAGGGCGCGGTGTGTGGAGGAAGCCAGCACCTCCCAGCTGTGAGAACCGCGGAGCCCAGGCCATCCGTGGGAAGGCACACGGCAGATTCGGAGCTGGGGGCGGGGCTGTCAGCAGCGGGGCCTGGGCCGTGCCCCACCTGCCAAGCCCGTGTCCCTGAACTCCTCTGCACTACAGTACCCAGGGCCTCCAGACAAGGACAGTCCCGTCCCACTCTATTACTGTCCCCGCGGGGGTCCCCGGGCCACGCCACGTCTGCACACAGTGGGACTCGAAGGTCCTCTCCACAGCGCTCCACCCTGTCGCCCCAGAACAGGGCGGGCCCGTGCGAACGGATCCTCTGCCTGCAGAGGTTCGGTCCCACACCGGCTGCCGTTTCATGAGTGGCTCACGCTGTGGAAGAGCTCGTGCAATTTACAAAACTCAAGGTGCTGTGGAGCGGTAAAGCTGCGCAGGCTGCCCCCCTCCCTGGCCCATTTTCCTGGGAGAACTGAACAGCAGAAATGGGTGCTCCTAATGCACTGTTCTCGTTACCTGGAAGAGACGGCTCTGCCTGCTGCAGCTCTTACTGATATTTAACGCGGACACCAGAACTGAACAGAGTGACTCTAGAAACACAGTCTCCCCGCCTATCTTTTCCTGGAGCCCAGGATGCAACCCAGGGTCTGCCACATGCTAGGCAAGCACTCTACCACCAAGCTACACCCCCAGCCTTTTTTGTTACATGAGATAAAGTCTCACTAAGTTGCCCGGGCTGGGCTTGAACTTACCGTTCTCCTGCCTCAGCCTCTCAGAGTACTGGGAGCACAGGTGCGCGCCACCCCCTCTGGCTACCACTTCTCCGACTTTTAAAGCTGAGGACAGACCTTGGCCCCGCCCCCAGCCCCAGCCCAGCCCCGAGGCTCCTGCCCATCCTGGGAGAGCCGGGCCCACCTGCAGGGAGGCGAGACTGAAGGTGATGACCAGCTGCGACGTGGGGCTGATGAAGGGCGGGGGTGTGACGGAGCGCTTGCCCTGCTCGAAGATGCGGTAGATGCGGTTGGTCTTGGTGAGCAGGGCAGAGTAGCTGAGGGTGGTGCCCAGGCCAAGGAAGAGCCTGCGGGCCGCACAGACGGCCGCCCCAGGCCCCGCCACCATGAGGAAGGTGACGGCGTAGATGAGGAAGACGCCGGTGAGCAGCACGTAGCTGAGCTCACGGCCCGAGGCACGGACGATGGGGGTGTTGTTGTGTCGCACGAAGGTGCCCGCCACCGTGGTGGTGGCCATGATGCCAAGCACGGCCAGGAGGAGCGGCAGGGCGGCCCAGGGGGAGGACCAGGTGAGGCGGACCACGGGCGTGGGTCGGCAGCCGGTGTGGTTGGGCGTGGGCCGCATGTCCCCAGGACAGGACTCACAGGTGAACTCGTCCACCTGGAAGCGGTAGCCATCGCAGGCCTCGCAGTGCCAGCAGCAGGGCACGCCCTTCACCATCTTCTTCCGCTCGCCCGGCCCGCAGGGGAGGCTGCACTGTGACGCGGGCACCTCGCGCTGGTCACCCGACCACAGCAAGGCTTCCACCTGTGACGGGTGGAACTGGCTGTGGCCCTGCCGCCAGCAGTTAAGGCCCGCTGGCTATGCTCAGAGCGGGGGCCGCACCACTTACATCCAGCCTGAGGACCTCTGCCCACTGGCCCACAGCCTGGTACCCGCCACTGTGGGCACTGCCATTGGTCGCCTGGTACTGGAAGATGTCATAGCGCCCTGGCGCATCTCCGTTCTCATTGAACATCACCGGGGTCCCTGCGCTGCCTGTGGAGAGAGCCTGTCATTCTCAACTAGATCTCCAGCCTACTGGGGAGGCCGCGAGGCCCAGCCAGGACCGAGGAAGCGTTAGACCAGGTTGTGAGAGGGTGCCTGAGGTCACTAGGCATCGGGGAAATGCAAGTCAAAACCACACGAGCCGCCACCTCACACCCAGAGACAGAAAGTCAGAAGCGTTCCTGAGGGTGTGCACTGATGCCAGGAGTGGAAATAGCACGCCGCCAGGGAGCACCGTGTGGTGGTTTCACAAAACATTAAAAATGGAGCTGCCCAAAGAGCCGCAGTTCCATTCCTGGGAGTAGACCTAAGGAACGGAAAGAGAGATGGGACGAGACATCTGACCTCCACGTCCAGTGCCGTGCCACTCACAGCAGCCAGAGGCAGCAGCTGCCCAGTGGATGAAAGAGGACAGATGTGGTCTAGACATACTGGGGCACAGACTCGGACAGAAAGGAGATTCTGACGCTTCACGACGCGCCTTTAGAACATGACACCAACTGAAAAGCCGGTCACAGAAGCACAAATGCTGTGCCATCCGAGGCACCCAGAGCGGGGAGCTTCACAGAGCCAGAGGGGGTCGGTCGCTGGGGGTGCGGAGCTGCTGCTTTCAGCGGGCACAGAGCTCTGCTCCCGCGAGATGAAAAGCACCGTGGAGCCGGTGGCCCAACAGTGTGAACGTGCGCAGGCCACTGAACCGCACACTGAGACACTGTTGGGACGGTAAGTTGTGCACATGGTACAGCAACCCGAAAGGAACCGCAGGCTCGGCCCTCCGGGTGAAGGGAGGCTTCAGACCTGAGCCCCGCTGGCTGCTGCCTTGCGGCCGGCTGTACTCTGAGCACTCAGCTTTGCTTTGTGCAGAGCTGGTCGGGAGCAAAGTGCAGGTGAGTTCCGTGGCAGGGAGCACAGCGGAGGAAAGGCGGTTTGCAGACATGTGGTGAGGAACGGAGCCGGAAACTTTCTAAAGGACAGCGAGGGAACAGAAGTGGATCTGACACACAGCAAGCCCCTGGTCTGCCGGGGCATCACCTCTGGCACCCTCGCCACGGAGAAGCCCACCCAGGCAGCTGCCCCGCTGCACTCCCCTCGCCCGTGCCTGCGGCTCGGGCTCTGCAGGCTCACCGTTGAAGCGGACCGCTCGAATGTACTGCAGCAGGGTGCGCCCGTCCGTGGGTTCCATTGCCGGGCACAGCCCCGAGTGCCCAGGGCACAGCGCCTGCTGCATGCTGTGCAGCGCGTGCGCGATGGCGTACACGGCGTCGATCACGAACTGCACCTTCCCCTCCTGCTCGTAGGCAGAGTCCTGGCCGATGCGTTCCTCGCCTGTCCTGGGGATGCCAGAGGAAGTGTTCCTGGCCCCCAGGCGCCAAGCCCGCCTGCCCCGCCTCCCAGCCTGCCCCGCTGACCTGTGCTGCCCTCACCTGTGCACTTGCGGGCGGAATCATCCGCCTGGCTGCCTGAGCTTGTCAGCTTGCAGTTAAAGTTCTCTTCCCAGAACTCAGCAAACCAGACGTTCCTGCGGTTGTTCTCCAGGGAGCGAGTCATGAAGTACTGGTCGAACCCTGGGAGGGAGGAAGCGGGAGAAGAACCTGGGCCAGCCCCTCTGCCGACTGCTCGCTTTGCACCCAGCTGTGTGACTAAGTCCTATGCTATGAGTTCTAAGCCAGCTGGAGGCTTCAGGGTGGACTTCGCCCCCTGAAGGACTTTTATCACTGCCTCTTCTTTCCGGGTTAGGACACTGCTGTAAAGATGGAATGGGTGGAGCGGCAGCACCTGTCCTGTACATAAGAGGCCATAAGCACAAAGACACAGCAACCACAGAGCAGTGGGGGACAGAAGGGAAGCAGGGCCCAGGGCCTGGGCAACATCACAGACTCACCGCCCTGTCCCTGAAATCACCTATTGCAGGCCTTGTCTGGTGATGAGATGCCTGTACTGCTAAAGCCACCCCCAGTCCAATTCATCACTGTAAGCAGGGAAGCTGAAGGACAGGTGCCAGGACGTCCGCCACTGGCAGAGTGCTGAGCCCGAGGGAAGGGCTGCTCCCTCCCCAGGTCCGAGCTTACAACCCTGAGCCGACCATGGCATCTGCAGTTCAGGTCTTTGGGAAAATGAGCAGCCCTCGTGTGGAGCCGATGCATCCAGACAGTCACAAGCGAGAGTGGGGGGCCGAGGCAGGCCTCCTCGCTGTCCCTGCAGGACGGTCTGTGCCAGACCAGCCCGACTCTTCAGTTTAGAGTAGTTTCGGTAAAACCAAAAATATATGCACAGAGTTAAAATCCAGACCCTAACCCTGTCTATGCGTACTTTCCCCCACACCACTCATTCAAACCCTGCCTGCGGGACTGGGTCACAGGCCAGGGACCCAGAAAGCACCCAGATTGTGGCATCAGCCTCAAAGATGTGAAAAATAGGCATCCCCGGGAGGGACCCCTGGGGAGGGCAGAGGGTGGGGCCAGCACAGCCCTGGACGCACCATCGATGGAGGCCCTTTTGGGCAGGATGGTGATGGCCCCCACGGCCACATCCTCCAGGCTCAGGATGGGCGAGGTCTTAGAGCCCCAGCTGTCCGAGCCGACCCACAGGAAGTGGCCGGTCAGGTTGGCCCGGCGTGTCGCCTCTAGGACCCTCCTGGCAAGAGCAAGAAGAAGGTATTAAGTGGGCACCCTGGGTCCCCCTCCACCCTAGTCCTGGCCACTTCCCTTTCTGTCCCCGTCACTCAGCAAAGCCCTGTTTTTCGGGACAAGTGGGGTGTACGTAGGGTGCTCAGGACTCGTCCCCTGGGCTTCCTCCCACCCAGGCTGCCCACATGTTCTGTCCTTATGCCTGGCCAGACAGGTTTACATTGTCCATGAAAGGCTCGTGTGTCAGAAGCCAGTCTCCAGCGTGGCCGTGCTGGGGGGCAGTGGGCCTCCTGTGAGGTGCCAGAGTCTTCAGGGGCTTAAGCAGTGCCCTGGGGACCCCATCAGCACCACCCCAGTGAGTTCCTGACCGGCTGTGTGCTCTCCCCTCTGTCACCCCTGCCATGACTCCATCTACCGAACACTGGTGCATCCTGAGGCCCCACCACAGCTGGGGCCGTGCTGGACTCTCAGCCTCCAAAACTGTGATTTAATAAACCTTTTCTTTATAAATCACTTGGCCTCTGGCATTTTGTTATAGTACCCCCAAAAATGGACCCTACAGACAGCTCCTTGGGGGGGAAACAGGCCAACTGGAAGCCACATCTGTCCCTCCACGAATGCTTCCACTGGTGTCACTGCAACTTCCGGGCTGGTGGCACAGCTCCCAGCTGGCTCAGGGCCCAGGTCTGCGATCTCCTGCCCTCTGTACCGTCCCTGGCCCAGCCACCCCTGACAGCTCACGCAGGTGACCTGCAGGGCCTGTCTCCCCTGTGATGATAAAAGTGGACATGTGCTTCCAGCCTGTGCCTGGAACAGCTCTCCTCAGACCAGACGCAAACAGGACAGCAGAAAGAGCTTCAGGTGGGGAGGGCGGGGGAGCCCAGCTTCGATGAGGCAGGGACAGCGTCCGGCTCACCTGATGTCATCCTCGTTGGCGAAAATGATGATGCCGCGGGCATTGGGCGTCTCCATGAGCCTCCTGATCACTTTGTCGAACTCGCCTGGCTTCGGTTCCCTAGGAATCTTGATGGACTGAGCAATGCAGACCCCTCCTGGAGTTGGGGATGTCACAGTCAGCTCTTGCCCTACACCCAACCACCACTGCACACGATGGTGCTGCAGCATGAGCGGTGCCCGGGCCCGGCTGAGGGTCCGGAGCGGCGATCTCCTGCCTGGGCCCTACCTAGCAGCCGCAGGACAAGGACTCACACAGCCCCAACACCCACCTGGGACCCAGCGTCCCGTCCCTCACTCCGTCCCACGGCCGGCTGCCATCCCCTCACCAGCTCACCAGCCTCTCGAGAGATCTGCACGAAGGCCTCCACCCCGCTCTCGCCATAGTTGCCCTCGGAGGCCAGCGTGGACACGTAGTTCCATCCCAGCGCCCGCACAATGTCCACCATCGCCTGGGCCTGGTAGGAGTCAGGCGGCACCACTCGGGAGAAGAAGTCGTAGCGCGTGGCATCGCTGAGCTCTGGGGCGGTGGAGGCGTAGCTGATCTGGGGTATCTGGGGCAGAAAGGACAGCTGGGCTGTGGGTGGAGTCAGGAACCCTAGGGAGGTAGGGCAACGGGCACTCGGGACACGATGGGGCACAGACAGCCTGGGGAGCCCACCGGGGCCAGGGGGACAGATGTGCCGCGGTCAGGGGCAGCTGCAGTCTCACACAGAGAGGCCAGGCGGGGCAGGGAACAGCAGCTGTTTATGAGCGGATCTGGTGGCCTAGGGACGGCATGAAGGTCCAGGGTAAGAGCAGGGCCCCCAACACCGCTGAGCAGGCGGCGTCCTGAACAGGGGCAGTGGAGACCAGGGCAGCCGGTGGACACCAGCCTGCAGCCAACCTTAGTGCGGGCACGCTGTGTTGCCCCAGGAAAGGGGCGTCCTCGTGAGCCCCAAGGAAAGCACATTTTCCTGCTCCCCCCATGGGGGTTCAGGGCAGGGGCAGCCCCGGGGCCATCAGAGCTGGTGGGGGCTTTGGACCCAAGCCGCGTCCAGGAGAACGGAGAGATTTGCCTGAAACTGGGTTTTATCTGTGTGCATTAGAGAGATGAGCAGTAGGATTAAGAGAGCTGAGCCCATCAGAGGGGTGGGGGATGGTGGGTGGGGGCCGGGGGCTGGGAGCCGGGCAGCAGCCGGGCTGAGAGCGCAGAGGGAGTCACACCACGTCAGGAGAGACGGCTGCAAAGAGCACAGCCTCACAGCACTGCGAGGGCAGTGCGGGCAGGAAGGCGGGACGCAGGGCGGGCATAGAATTGTGCACGTACATACATACATATATATCCTCCCAAACGAACGTGCACACTGCGTACTAACATGCACACTGCATACGCTGTACTGCAGACATCCGGAGTTTTAAAAACACAAAGAAGGAGGGAAAAGACAGTCCGGAGGGAGAGAGGGGCGTGACCCGGAGCTGCGAGTGTTCACCAAGCGGACTCGGAGGGCCAGGGCGGGAGACAGACAGAGCAAGACGAAGACGGAACAGCGGTGTGAGGTGCGCACAGCCCGGGGCTCCAGCAAGGGCGGGCCGCAGCCCAGCGTCCCCCCTCTACAGCGAGAGCCGGAGGGACCCAGCAGGGACGTTCCAGACGGAGGCGAGCGGGAAAGACGTCCGGGCCGAGCGGGGCGAGCAGGGCGGCCCGCGGGGGCTCACCGCGAACAGGCGCAGGACGTTGGCCACCATGATGGACACGGAGCTGGCCGAGGCGCCCACGACGGCCACCACGCGCTCGGGGGGCGCGGCGCG